CATGAAACAATGTCTTTAGTTAGGTTCATTTTTAGTGCATGGACTCTTTTTTATTCGTTGGTTGTCTTTTATAACTGGTTTTATTCACTCAAAATTAAATTTGTAAGATACATTCGTGTATTTGCTTTTTTTGTTACCTATAGCTGCAGTTCATTCCTTTTTTCCAAGTGTTTTCAATTGACATATAAGATTGTATGTATTTATTATGCATAACATGAGGTTTTGAAGACCTATATATTGTGCAATGATCCTTTTAATTATCATATATTTATGGGTACATTTATTCATGGTGTGATTATATCATAACTTTTATCCATGCTAATTTTAAAAGACACTTACATTATATCCAGTTTATTGCTAGCGTAAAAATTACCACTATAATGACTTTTGTATTCTTTTCTGGTATAAGAATTTCTCCAGAATATGTAACTAAGTAGGTGTGCTAGTTCATGTAATATATATATAGCTGACTTTGCTAGACAATGCCCAGTGAAGTTGCAAAATATAGGTGAATACTCCACCTGCAGTGTGTAAATGCTATGATTGGTCACAGATTTACTAATAATTACTTTAGTCAACCTCCTACTAGTTTCCTATATGCTGGGTACACAATGTTACTTAATTGTGGTTTTAATTTTCATTTCCTTGAAATCTAAGATATGATCATTACATGAAAATCATGAAGATATCTCCTGTATTATCTTATGTAAATTTTGCTATTTTACCTTTCACATATAAGTCTTCAATCAGCCTAAATCAGACATGTATGTTGTGTAAAATATGAGATCTAATTTTACTGTTTTACTATATGTATATTATTCCAGTGTCACTTGTTTAATAACTTTTCTTAGTGATCTGTAATGTCATTTAAATCAATAATCAAATGTCCAGAATCATAAGGATCTTTTGGGGTTCCTTGTGTTTAGCCCATAGTACTCTTTGTCAGTCCATTTGCAAGTATCCTATTATTTTAATTATGTATTCTCTTTTAATGTTAAACTTGGATATCTAGAAAGAAGGTTTCTTCACTCAAGTCTGGATTCTGTTTTTTTTTTTTTTTTTTTAATTAATTTCCCTACTACTTTTTGGCTATCCTAATGATCCCATTCATCATAGGGAATTTGTACTTGTATATATTGATTCTTCTCTTTTCCTCATTCCCTTCTCCTCCTTTCAACTCTCCTTCCCCTCCTTATCTACAAAAGTTTTGTATCCATTTTTTTCTTTCTATTCGCTTTCATTTTTTCCCCTTCCTTCCCTTCTCTCTTCCCACCTCCCTTGTTCCACGTCCCATCTGAACACTTTCATCCTACCTCCCAGTATGTGTCCTCCACTTTGGTCATTATTTACATTTTCAGTTTCCTCACACAAGAGAAACTGTTATATTTAAACACATGTGTCTGATCTATTTCACTTAAAAATCTGGTTCCAAGTTACATCCATTCACCTAAAAATGTCTCAGGTTTGTTCTTCTTCGTGGCGGAAGAGCACTCCATCATATAGAAAAACAGTATTTTATCATTCATCCATTGTTGGGCATCTGGGATGCTTCTGAGATTTAGTTATTACAATTTGTGCTGCTATAAATATAGTTGTGCATATATCGCTATAGTATGATGCTTTTAACTCTTTTCAGAAGATATCTAGAAGGGCAATAATTGGGTCAATTGGAAGCTTTAATTTTAGTCTTTTGAGGAATCTCCATATTTACGTCCATAGTAGCTGTACCAATTTATACTCCCTTCAACAGTGGAAAAGGGTTATTTTTCCCCTGCTACCTCACCAGCATTTGTTATTTCCTGATTTCTTGGTAATAGCCCTTGTTTCTAGAGTGAGATGGAATCTCACTGTTCTTTTAATTTACCTCTCTCAAATGACCCAGTGATATTGAACTTTTTTCATATATTAATGTGCTGTTTGTACTTCTTCTTCTAAGAAATGTCTATTCATTTCACTTGCCCATATTTAGATTGTGTCTTTAAATTTGGGGAAGTCAGGTTTGTTTTTGTTTTTGTTTTTTAATTCTTTGTATATTCTAGTAGTCTTTTATCTGAGGAATAGCTAGAAAAAAATTTTTCCCATTCTGTAGGCTGTCTCTTCACTCTGCTGTTGATTTGTTTTGTTTTCTTGTTTGTTTGTTTGTTTTGTTTTGTTTCGTTTTTGTTTTTGATTCTTCTATACAAAAGCTTTTCAATATGATGGGATTCCACTTGTTGATTCTAATTAGTATCTGGGGTCTAATCAGTTCTTGGCTTTTCCATATACATTTTAGAATTAACATATAAAGCATCAAAAGGTTATACTTTTTATTGGAATTCTAGTCTCTATAATTTTTGGCAAAATGTACATATTTAAAATATTGAGTCTTCTATTCATGTATATCATAGAGTCCTCCAATACATGGGGCTTTTCCAATGCACTTCCATAAAGCTGTATCATTTTCTCTATAAAACTGAAACACACATCCTATATCTTTTCTCAAGATGCATTATATTTTAGGTTTTTGCATATTAGCATAGTACTATGTATCTCATACATATTTGAGTATGTTTTGTACCGTGGATTAAAACAGGGTTTTATGCATGCTAGGCAAATATTCATCCACTGAATTACCACTGCAGCTCAATCATTCTAGTTTTAAGTATTATGTAATTCTCTTTATATTATTAATAGAAATATATTGACTGTGTATCTAGCCATATTTCTGAATTCTGCTCAAATTATAAGCATATTTTGTATTCTATATAGACAAGTTTATGAAATAATTTTGCATCTTGTTTAACCCACATGATTTATTTATTTCATCTTAATGTGCTGATTATGATCTCTGATATACATAAACAGGAAATGTTAATGAAATACAAATCTGTCAGATTTCCAAACTTTAAAGAAATAATTCAAATATTTTCACCTAAATGTGAATTATTCCACTAAAATTTTGTATATTTCTTGAAGAAATATTATCCACTTTTAAATTGTTACGAGTATTTGTAATTGGAAGATCCTGAATTTTATCAAAAACTTTTTCCTTCATCTATTACGGTGATCGTATATTTCTCTTTTTTTACATACTAAGATAAATTAAAATTTTTTCATGTAAAGCTAGACTTATATTCTTAGATAATGCCAATTTCATCAAATATTTTTCTCATACATTGAACAATTAATATCATTACTGTTTTGTTTAGGAGATTTTCTATGATCAAAATGAAACATCTCCTAGATTAGGTTGTATAAAATAGGAATAATTTATCACATAATCTAAATATCACATACTCCTCTGAATAGATTACCTGAGATTAATATTTTATTTTAATTTCTTTTTTATGAAAAAAGAGGTTTGTAACAACTGAACGAGTTTCTTTAATAATTATAGGATTATTGTGATTATTTCTGTTTTATTAATATGTCAATTATATTCTGAGACTGGGCTCCAAATTGAGTAAAGCTTCAGTTTTTGCATTGCTCTTTGAATATATATAGACTCAGCAGTAATGTCTTCTTCCAGAATTATTGTTTTTCATATTCTTTTTTTTCTTATTCACTTTGATTAGTGAAGTAATTTTTCAAAGAATACATTTTGACTTTGTGGATATTATTGTGGCTTGATCTTTTCAGCTTATCATAAAATTTATGATTTTAGGTTATATCGTATGTTTTTGTGTATGTCAATAAAGTCCGAATTCTGTAGTATTCTTATTTTCTAATATATTTAAATCTAAACTTTATGTGTCAATGTCACTATATTCTGTAAATTTTTTGCATTTTATTTTTGTTTTTGTTGTGTTCTAAATATTTTCTAATTTTCATTTTACATGTAATTTCTTACTCAGCCAATGAGTTATTTAGAAATACAGGGGAATTTTGATCTTCAAATTCCATCCTATTGTTGTCTATAATTTGTTTTTGATCTGCAACTGAGTTGCATTGTGCTAAAATAAATGATCCAGATGATCAAAATTTTATTTGAAACTAATTGATTCTTACTTTTTAATCCAGTATATGATTTATTTTTCAATGAATGCTTAAAATATGATTCACAATTAGCCCTTGTTAGTTATGCTGTTTAGATCACTCTGCCTTTTCTGAATTTTTTTTTCATCTGCTTTACCTAAAAATTACTAAGCATGAGATTTTTAACTTCCCTGCTATGGCAGACCTGGCTGTCAGTTTCTCTTTGTAGTTCAGTTGATCTTTGCTTTATGTTTCACAGCAAAGTCCCTAACTACATATAAGAACATGACATACGCACATTCAACTTCTTGTTAGCTAGACATTTAACCCATATTCTGTCTAAATGTATTTAACTTTCAGATTAATGGCTATTTCATATATCAACATAATTTTTCAGTTTTCTTCTACTATATATTCCTCTCGCCCCTTTAAGACACTTTGTCTTTGGTGTCCTAAACTTGTTCTCTAATAACACTATGTGTAGATCTACATTTTTAACTGTCCTACAGCATTTAGTATGGCTTTTGGCACCGAGCATTAATGTCCTTAAACATTTCTGAAAACTGATAAATTGTTATTTATTTAATTATTGCTTATTCTTCATTTCTTCTCTCCTTTCTTTGTGAATAATTTCTTCTCATCTCTCTTGCTTTCCATCTCTTTTTACTTACTCTGTGTTATAAATGTTCTTCAGATATATTATGTATCATGCATCCTATCATGTATAAACTTAATCACTCAATTATACCATTTATTGAATGTTTAATTTCAAATATTGCATTTTTTCATTCTAAAGACCCTCCTTCATTTTCAAAGTACTTGATCACCAACACCTCTTGTGCATTTTCAATATCCATTTTGTCTTTTTAAGCCTATTAACAATATGTATTTTATATTGCCTGTCTGATAATGCAATATCTGAAGTCTTTAGGATTCTATGAAGCTTTGTGTATGCCACGTCTTGTTCAAAGTGTCATATGTTTTTGTATGTTTTGTTACATTTATGTGTGAAAAGATTTAGGGAATGATAGCCTAACATGCATTACCTTAGTGACTGGGGAAGTAGTCACAGCAAGAAAGCCTCTTTGACTCTTTCCTCAGAAGCAGACCATAGATATGACTCCCTACACTTCTTCTGAAGTGGATCATTAAGGGCATCGCTCCACAGATACTCTCTCTACATCCTAGGGAAAAGAATAAAGACAAGAAAATAACATGAAAATTCTGGACAAATCGGTGTCCCTAAGTTATCCCTAGTTTATTACTACTAACTCTTTTGTTCTCCAATCATATTTCTGCATGACACCCATAAAATTACCCAAATTATTGTTTCTGTGTTTCTCATTTTCAAAGCTCCCATATCATATAAAATTTATATTCAGTAAATTTTTATGGGGCTGGGGATTTAGTTCAGTGACATAAGCACCTGCCTTGCAAGCAGGCAGTCGTGAGTTTGATCCCTGGTACCGATAAAAAGGAAAATGACAAAAAAAATTTTTTATGCTTGTCTTTTGCTAATCTGTCTTCTGTTCAGGAGTCTCAGGTATGACTTTGTAGCAAATGAGAAGTTGTTCTTTCTTACAGTCTTCCTTGGAAATTTGCATATGGCAAGTATTTAAGGACTGGATTGAATGTGGAATTTTCCCAGAGGATTTCTCTTTGCTTTTGCTGATACTTTACCATATTTATAAACAACACCCTAAAAATTAAATTATTAGATTGAAGTTATGGAGAACATCCAAATATAAAATTCAGATATGAACTCATGAATTTAGTGTCCTCCCATACTCCAACCAGCCTTGCAGTCTGAGGAAGCATTACTGAAATCAGATCTTCCTATTCTCACATGTGAGAGATCAGGACATGTACCAGGTTTAACTAGTTTCTTATGCAGGATGCAGTTTTGGGATGCCTCAATTTTACTCAACAGATTTCCAGTTACTTTTCCATCTCCTCCCCTCTTCTGTGGGAATGAAAAAACCCAAAGCTCCGGGTCATCTGTATTCAGCAAATACTTGATGATGAAATCAGCTTCACTGCTAGTTTATCTCTCCAGACTCTTGTTTCCCCTTAGTTCTTTGCCTCTGAATAAGTTGTCAGCATTAGCAAATAAAAATACAGCATCCCCAAATGCATGTGAATTTCAGGTAAACAAATAATTTCCTAATGTATGCCCCATGTACAATTTGCGACATAATCATACTTAAAAAAAAAATTACTCCTTATTTGTCTGAAGTTGAAGTTTGACTAGATTTCCAGGCAACATTGCAATGACAAATTCTTGTTTTCTTCCCAATTCATGGATGCATCTAAACAGCTTTTTAAAGACTCTAACAGTATTTTTAGATGGTTTTCTGCAGAGTGATCAGTTCTTCTACAGAGTTAGCACACTGCTGGAAGAGAATCATTCTTTCATTTCGCTACAACCTGCCCACCTTGAGAGATTTGGGGAGCCACTTGCCTCTGTGAAACTTCGTCTCTCACAGTGTTTTTTGTATGTGTATCTGAATCAGACAAGGGCCTGAACAGTCACCTCTTATAATCCCCTTTTGTTAAAAAAAAAATAAAAGGAAACTTAGGTTCAAATAGGTAAAACGATAAGGCCCTCATATCCAATTTGGTGACAACCTGGAAACCAGAAATTCTGTCTCCTCACTCAATATTCAATATTCTTTGCACTCTGCTGTGTTGACTGAGAGAATCAAACAAGCTGAGGAATATCAAGGCACTAAGCAGAACATAAAGTATTGGAAGTACATAAAGCATTAGAATGGAAATGGATAAAATATTTTTAAAGATTTTGATTACAGGATCTAACAAACTTGAGCAGCTTAAAATATGAGATTTAGCATGAGATAATATTTAGAGAACAAGCTCATAGGAATGCAATAACACGCTTCCACATTCTTCCCTTCCAAGAACCCTAGCCTGAACAATGAAAATTATCTATGAATATTTAAAAGAAATAAATTATATTAAAATATCTGACCAGAAATGTACTGTAACAGGCAAAAATTTTACCTAGAACACAATACATTCTCCATAGCATATAAGATGAAAAAAAGAACTTAATTAGCAAAAGCCCTCTCTTCTTTTTCCCTACCTCTTTTCTTACAAAGAAATGCTTTCAGAATGCTTAAGACTCTCACCATGCTACTTTCTTTGCTACAATCAGTGACATGATTGCCACTCAAATTGCTATACTGGTCCTTTTTCCTCTAGCTCTGCATAAAAAGAAGATGCAGATGAATAGATTTTCTGTGAGTTAATTTATTAGGCGTGCAAAGCAATTATCAGCAAGGTAAATCATGGAACATGAAGTACACTGTTACATGCTGGTTGCTGTATAATGTAGGTCCCTTGGCCACAGATGCAATTAAATAGTTATATTTTATTCCTTTTAATTTTATCTCCTGGTCTATCCTTTGCCCAACCCAGACACATACATGTCAATATATGATCAATAGTTAGAAGTATGTAATGACTACCTCTAACGATTTCTATAATTTTGATGCTACGGGATAAATTTACATGATCTTAGAGCATAAATCTACAAAATGGGACTTAGTGAATTTTGCAGTATGATTCTGTTCCTGGCATCAGTTTGTCAGTTTCTTATGTGGCTGTAATTGCGAGAAATTATATTTCTGTCACGTGACCAGAGACTGCAGTGAGGTGAATTAAGCAGTGCTTGCAAATGCCTGTCACATTAGTAGTATCTAAATCTTCTGTTTTTAATTTTAAAGGGCAAGCCCAACCAGTCATGTTTACTAAGCTTTCAGGACTCATAAATGAAATCCCTGACAACAAAAGCAAGCCCTCTCCCTCCACAGACCAGTGCAAGTCTGAATAATACCAAAGTGACAGAAAGGCAATGCTCCAACAAAGAGAGTAGGGTGAATATCTCTTTTTACCACTCACTAGCCAATGTGGTTTAGTTTCCTTGCTTCTCTTTGCCTCAGTTTACTTATTGACAACATGAGAGTAAGAACTGCCTGGTAGGAGTATTACTCATGTATGAAAATTATCTAGCCTTCGGTTACACACAGAAACTGCTTTGACGGTGTTGATTGTCCCTTGTTCACCAAGAATGACAAGTTCATAGAGATATTTAACATTATCCCTCTAAAGCAGCACAATAGGAAATGCTTAGAAATAAGCTGCTACCTGTGTCAAACACTTAAGACTCACATCATGTGTAATGAAAGAGAGGACACGAGAAAAAGGAAGAGACTGAGATCCCATCCTAACACAATAAAATCATGCAGAAAAAGTAGGTGATCAGAATGAGCAAGGATAGGAAAAAATGATGGTCGGGTAAAATGAGTCTGTGTTCGGTAACAACCAAAACCAGTCAGAGGAAAGATAGTGGCAGATGAGAGACTGGCAGAGTATGCCAGGAGTTAGTGCATATCTTATCTTCCCATCACTATAGCAAACACATGAGCCAACTCTGCAAAGCAAAGAGGTTTATGTTGGCCGACACAGGCCTGTGGTGAGACAGCACATCATTGCAGAAGAGCGTGGTAAGGCAAAACCATTCTCCTCATAGCTGGAAAATGAGAGAAAGGAAGTGACCAACGTCCCATAGATCACTTTGAGGACACACTCCTAATGATTCAGAGACATCCCACTAGGTCCTATCTCTTAAAAGCCCTTCCATGTCTCAGTGGCTTCAACCTGAAGACCAGAACTAATGCATGGGCAGGACATTCCAGATGCAAATCATAGCACTAAGAATGGCATGGGCAGTGTGAGGAAATGAGATAAGAAAAGGGGATTTCATTCAAAGTAACTAAAGAAGCAAGAGAAATTTTCTTATTTTAGTGTTTTGTTTTAGTCAGAACCCTTCCGCTTAAGATATTTGGAAATCATGAATCCTGAACCTCATATCTCTATCTGTATCTCTATCTCATCTATCTATATCTCTGTCATCTCTATCTCTATATCTTGTTAGGTTTCTAGATCCTGTTATGATGAAAGACTTACTAAAGAGGAAAGCCAGAATATATTTGTCACGAAACAGATAAAGGATGATAAAGATGGTGGGCAAACAGGCAACTGTGTCCCTGACATAAGCTCAGGATGAAGGAAAGATCAACGTGTGCTACACACAGGCCCTCCTGTATTTAAGGACTGTCCGCAGTGATCCTGCAGATGCCCTTCAGAGAAAGTTAAATTAAGCTTCTCACATTTTAGCACCTCAATGTGAGTACATCTGCTTGTTTGTTTTTCCTAGAGGAGATGTCCATAGGGGGTTGTCAGAGAGGTGGTAAGAGCTCTGAGCCCTAAATGGGTGGCAACCAGCAGGAAAGCAGAGAAGGACCTTGAGGATGATAATCACACCAAGAGCACCATGAATAATTAAACGAATGTAGTAGAGGCAGATTATATTACCGTGGGAATTAAAAACTAATGTCTTAATATTAAATGAAGGAAGTAAACACGATGTTAAAAGAATATTCCTCCAAATTTAGCTTTTTGGGAAATTCAGTGATTGCTCATGCCACTGCTCCTCTGCATGAACAAATTAGTTTCAATCCAGTTTCTACTGCAAAAATGTCTCTTCTACGTCATCTGCCTTCCTTCCACCGTGATAACCCATCTAAAGGACTCAGCTTATCTATGAAACATGTGTTTGTTGTTTAACTTACATGTATGACTTGAAGTCAATTGTCAACATTACTATGGACTGTTACATTCTAAAATAAGGAGATAAGATTCAGCCTCAGTGTTACAAGCACTCTGCGTAATTGCAACTATGACCTCTCATTCTAAATTGCATTTTTGCATTAAATTAACACTGCTATTAAAAATGTGATACGTTCATGCTTTCCAACAGGTCCAGTGAAAGCTCAAAGAGGCTTCATTCACCACAATCACTTGGCATCTGGCGCTACTCTCTTCACTTAGGAAAATACACGTTTTCTTGGCTTAACTATATACCATCCACTATGAATCAGATTGCTCACTGTTTTTAAGGACTGATAATTTAACATTGTAGGATACTTCTTTTTAAAATGATTTCATAATCAATTAATAGGGAGTGAGGGACTCTCAGGCCACTTTTAAGTGCATAGTAAGACATGACTGAGTCAGATCCGACAGCTCCAAAATTGCTGCATACTTGAGTATGCTTCATGCCTGTAACTGTTGACTTCCTGCTCACCAACTTGTGGCATCGAATCATATCTCATTTTCAAAATGAATTCTTTTGAATACCCACGCTCCCCAACATGCTCATACCTGAATTCCATTCTTTTCCAAAATGCAGTTCTTTAAATAATTTCTGGGGACCTCAAGGAATTCGCTCACTAACTTCACTGTCCTCTCTTCTGTGTGCCCTTTGGCTGCCAACAGTTTCTACCACCTCATCTTCCTTCCACTGCAAAGACCACTGAACCATCTGCTTTTCTTGCTAACTCCACTTCTGAGGTACAGGCTGCAACTACCCACCTCTCATTTCTTCTCTTGCCACTGACTATTTCATACTTGATCCATCTTCACATCTACACAGCATTTGCACCCTCATCATGTCATATATGCCTTCCCCTCTGTTGCATAATCTTTCTACCATGCGCACTCTTTGTCCATACAGACAAATGTTTAACTCTCAGTTAAATTATAATCTCCTCCAAAATACTATCTCTGAGTCCCAGAATTATCTATACATCTCCTTTTTCCAACCTATAATGTGAATCACACTGGACTGTTTCCTTTCATGCCTTTCTTCTTACTAGATAAACTCGAGCTCCTGATAGCAATGAATGGCTTAGGAATCCATACTCTGACAAGCAGATGCATTTAGATGATTCAGCCACTCACCTATCATCAAGTTTTTGTTCCATAGTTTAGCAAAAAGGTATGGATCTTAATTAAAATAAGCTTTCTACCATGATTTAGGATTTAATCTTGATTCAGTCCAAACCACATTCTGAGAAAATCTACTTTAAGTATTATGTGGCTAATAAATAAATACATTGAGGAAAGACAAAAAGGATGTGGCTAAGGATATTTAATGTAAACTGCATGAAGGAGAAGAGAGATGGGTAAAATTAACTTACCCATTTAAATGTTCTAGAAATTTGGAAAACCATGCTGTCAGAAAGAAAAGAAAAGCAAAGAATCTATACATTGCTACTCAGCATAATTTCACTTGGAAATTGCATTATTTCTGCTTGATTTAATTTTGTGTGGTTAAATTTTGAGGAAATGTTATTTATTACATACACAGGTAAACTTATGTGATTATCCGCAAATGTCTTTTTGTAGCACACACAACAACATCACAGATGCTTGCTACACCTATTTGAAAAAGAGAGGGAAAAATTAGCTGTATAATAGTAAATTCAATTTATAAAATTAAATGTGTATTAAAATATGCCTGGTAAATATTATGCCATCTGCACATGCTCAAACAGTGAGCCTGGTTAATATTTTATAGTTTATCTGATAAAGTTAACAAAAGAATTTAGTCAGAGTGGAGACATACACTGAATATTTCATCACCTTCTTAATTGCAGAATACAGACAAGACATTTTTTTCCCTTTGGGAAAAATAAATGTTAAAAGTTATTACAGATGGAATCAGTTTGGCAATTAGGTTGAAATCCAACTGAAACCAAGCAGAAATTGACAGCTCCAAACATCACAATACCAAAGTCTTTTCAGCCAAATCCATCAATTTACATGATGAAGCAGAAATGTTGATAGCAATGCTGTGTAACTCGGCTAGCAGACGTTATATTAACACAGAATAGAAACTGGCTTTGTGCCTTTTTCCCAATAGTTAATTCACAGCCGTCAAGAGCTGTCATTCTTATGCACAGCAGACAGTATGATATACCTAAGGCTTTTCATTCTAACTTCTGATTTAAAGGTCTTCAGCTTGTGCTCTGGACCTTAACCTTGAAGCCAAGTCCAAATTAGCTTTAAATCAATGAAGCTGATTAAAGTTCCATTGTGGTTGAACCCTTAATAGAAGAAGGGAGGGGAAGGAACCACTTGAAAACAGCAAAAGATTGGCCTTTCCCTTCTTGGGACATGTGTAATGCTTTTCAGCTCTCTCTACCCTGACAAAACCATGAATGCTTTTAAGGCTATTTACCTGCTAAGAGAATGGAACCAAATTTTCCAATTCAGTGGAAAAGGCCAAGTGAGAATCAAAGGTATTTTTTCACAAGCACTGGAATATAAAAGGTTATTTTTAAAAGAAGCAAAGAGGGGGACATCAAAACATCTCCCTAGGATACGTTGAAAGAACCAAGTTTCCCTTGTGTGAGGAAAAAAATTCATTATATTTTAAAGGTGCTTTGAGTTTCTCGTTGTCTTGCTTTGTATTTTAAGATGCTGCCATTCTTTGTAAACAGAAAGCTGTTGCAATTTCTCACCATCTCCAAAAACAAAATGCTTTTCTTGCTTGCAAATGAATATATCTGCAAAAAAAAAAAAAAGAAAAAAAAAAAAAAAAAAAGCCTGAAAAGAAGTTCTTGCTTTGAAAGTGGCCAGAATAAACTCCAGGCAAAGGCAGGGCTATCTATTTATATGTAACCCAACACTAACAACCCTCAGACAGTCATAAAAACAGCATTAGAGTAATTTACTGACTCTGCCTAATTTCTTTGTGGCTATAAGAATCCAGAAAAATTCTTTGTTATTTTTTTCTGATTATTTATTTAAATGAACATCTGTCTTCAGAAATACTAAAAATGAACCAGGCACATGCTTATCATCCCAGCACTTAGGAGACTAAGGTAGAAGGATCACAAATTTGAGGTCATCTTGAGTTACACAGCAGGTTCATTGCCAGTCTGAGTTACACAGTGAAACTGTCTCAAAACAAAACAACAAAACAAAACAGTCCAGAAATACTAAAAATGAGTAGAAAGAATAATTCAGAGAAAGGCTCAATTTTGTGAAGTAATTGAATTCTTTAATGCTTCAATTCAATCTTCCCTTCAGAGGACTCCATCTCACTATAGTAAACTAAATGAGTGGTCTCTTTCTTTATATGTCCTTGTATTTCATGCATGATAACATTACGTAAAACAAATTTTTACAAATAAATCAGGAAAAATAAAGCAAATGCAAAGGAGCAGGAACTAATGGGTAATTTAACAGCAGTGTTGACCATTTATGCCTCCTATACTTGTGTGGGTAAAGTGCTTCCAACCATGGCCAGCTATATCATGTGCTCAGTGAACTCGAACGGCTGGCTATAATTCCGCTGGTGTGGACGTCACCCTGACAATGCAGGTCCTCTAGTTTCCTTGTTTCTCTCTTGTCTACATGTACCCAAAAAAGCTTGAGTTTGGAACCATCAAAATTTTCTCTTCCATTTCCAGGAAACTCTCATAGATGGAGAACAAAGAAGTTGATCTAAAAAAGAAATCAGTCATTCCCAAGTAAGTCACTTTTAACTAAGAGTCCAAAAACATGCCAATAACCACCAAAGGCAGAGAACTATCAACATTAAAAAAGCATGTGCACCAGAACCAGAGAGTGGCACTTCCTCCCTGCTTTTCAAAGAGCTGCTTCCCTGTATGTGTCTCCAGGTTCCTCGTTTCCTTCTCATAAATGTAGAAGACAAAACAAACTATGGAATAATATAGATCTGGACTGGCCAATGAAAATACAGAATAGAGACTAGCAAGGGGGAGGCAGTAAAAAAGTAGGAAAGTAGAAAGTAAGAGAAAGAAAGAAAAGAACAAATTAATAAACAAGAATGCAGAGGCAATAGATAGGCAGAATGAACTGAGATCTAGTGGAAGGTTCCCAAGACAAGTGCGAGCAGCCCCCAGGAAAGACAGAGCTGTCTCTTCATAGACTTGGTGTCATTTGGTTCTTTTCATTCTCTGAGCTGTGGCTACAAAGCTCTAGGGGATCACAAAAGTCAAGGAGAGAAAACTGAGACATCAGCTTGAAACAGACAGCCCAGAAAGTGATAATTATGATTTCTTAAACCACAACCGCCCTCTGTCATCAACAAGATATTGTGAAAGCAAGCAAATCATCTGTCAGATGCTGACATCTCTGGAAAGAGCTACCACTTGAATGCAAACTGTTATTATGGATATGATGGTGATGATGACGATGATGACGATGGCCATGATCATTTCCTCTCAGAGTCCCCTGAAGCTGGAACTGTCTTCTTCAATGAGCCCCAGCACTTTTCAAATCTCATTAACTTTTACGTGTGCTTTAGTTAATTATTTTAGATAACCTGGAAAGCATTTTAGAGGATGCTGATAAAATGAAAAGTGAAATTAAGTGATTAAGAATAACTTTCATCTGACTATGAGAAAAAAAACCATATTTTTAGTCAGATACTCTCATTTTGCTTCCTAACGACATCAGTTCATTTGGATATATCCTATCCATAACTAGAACTAACCTTGTAAGTAAAACCCATGTGCCAGAACAATATAATTCAAGGTTTCCTTCCCCAGGTGTTAAAATAGGCAACAATCTATCATTAAGGTCTTTCCCTCTGAATTTCTCAGCAATAAGACCTCCTCCTTTTAAAATGCAAGTGCTTCTGGATTTTTTCAAGACACTCAGCTATCTGTACATCGTAAACATAGTTGTGGTTTGTTACCTGATGTTTCTGACCTCCCCTGAGAAGGTATCCCAGACTACATGGAATGATTAGTCATCTGAAAAATTGAGCTGGCACCAAACGAGGTAAAAGGCATTTTAAAAATTACATTCTTTTAAAGTTTTGTTAAAGGTAAATTAAATCTGGGTTGTCCGGCAAACCCAGTGCGAGGTACACAAAATTGCAAGTCCAACAAATGGACTCAAAATAAAGCATTTTCTGTACGTTTATTACAAAGCAGTGTGGCATGAACCCTGGTAAGCTTGCTTAATTTTCTCCTTTTCTCATTCCTCAAAGTAGAAGGATGAGTGGTTTCCTCCTACTCCCATTATTCTTGCTGTTTCAGAGCCACAGACTTGGGGAAGGCAGTTCTCAAACTGCTAACGGATGAGCGCCTGGGGCAGAGAGACCTACACACACCCTCCTTATCTTGTCATTGGCACTCACCATGCTGGTTCTTCCTCCATGTCACAGTACTCCTTCCAGAGGGCACAGAAAAGGTATGCATCTTTCTAAGGATCTGCTGCAGTGCTTTCCAAATGAAGGTGCCAACAAGCTTTCAAAATTGTTGTCACAGAATGCCTTTATGCACCATAGAAAGCAAAGAAACTTGTTTGGGCCTTGAATCCTGGAGGTGAAATAGTCTAGCTTTCCACATGTCTGGACGGAGTTCAAACTTAGTTATGAGTTGCTTAGTTGCTTATTAGTCCGCCTGAGATGGGTCAGCAGTTGGCATGAGCTTCTTCCCAAACAGACCATCCAAAGTTCACCCCCAGAGGAGCAGAGGAGACTTAGAACCTCAGGAACCCTGTATTCACAAACACGCATGCCAGGAACAGGAACTAGGAGGTGTGTCCTTCCTGCTTTTTTGCTATCTTAAATATCCCCTTCATGTTTTTGCTGGGAACACTTCACTTGATAAAGCTAGGATAAACTCCAACCTGATGCTAGTGGAAAATCACCTGTCTCTACTCCACAGTGAGTCATGTTTGCATGTAGCAAAGATCACCATCTCAGAGGTCACTCTGAGAACAGCAGCAGAGCCAGAGGAAGTTGATTTCTAAGCTTTGTCTCAAATTCTACCAGATGGCAAAAGTTTTGATTGTTCTTGGCACTCACTGTCTGGTTGGATGACATTTTACTTACACTCCTCAATGACACTGAAGTATGTGTGTACTTTATCTACTTTCTGGAGAAGAATCTACAATTCCTCAGTGAGATAGTTGTTTGATACTACAAATGTATCACCAATCCGTTCATAAGACTATACCTGAAGTCATGAGCTCCAGTGTATAGGTTGCTTCAGGAATAAGGGGCCTTTTTCAGTGGAAGGTGATTCACCAAGGCTCATCCCAGGTGGCTTATAAGAAGAAAGGGGACCAACTGAGGGACCACTGTCTTTATAGGTCAGCCACAGGAAAACAAGACAAAACCAACTGATTTTCAAGGATAAAAGTTCTCCTTGAAAAACTAAGTTTGTATGAAAACTTAGTATGTAGCTATTGGAATAAATTACATTGTAGGATGTTTTTAAAATGATATGAATAATAAAGACAAAACATTAAAACAGGAAACCTTTCTTAACAAATGCCACTTAAGGACTTTGGGCCCTAGAATTAAAATGACAGTATTTTGATGTCTTAACCCTGCTATGAGACAGAAAAAGATGTCATTTGACACTAAAATATCTAACTTTACTGTGAGGGCTATAGCATCCCGTATTGGTTGATTTGCTTGTGTAAAATATTTCTTATATGTATTTGATTTTTATATTGACTTTCATTGCTGTAAGAACTATCCAATATTCTCTGAATATCTGATAAATCTTCCAAATGTTTGAAATAAGTTCAAAGCATCTCTAAGCATAAAGGTTGTAAATATCACCAAATAGACAATACACTGTGAAAAAAATTACTTGCATCCTAGCCTACATAAAATGTTAGGGAGCTCAGAAATATAAATAGTGAAATTACTTGCCCTTGATTTGGTGATCGTATTTACATCAACAAGATCTTCCATCCTCTAACTCAAAACAGCTCAAAACAAAGACAGCCACACTAAAGGTACACTACAAAATGAATAATATACTTTATATGTAATTATTTTTATTTGAAAGTCTTAAACTGTAGGCCCATTTTGATCACCTGTATTATTTTTTAATTAAGGAAATGCTAGCGCTTGCTAAGAAACCAAATCTGTTGCAATTTGACAGTTACAGCAAGAAAAATTGTCACGTGTACAGGCAACATGTAGGAACAAACCTAACTTTTTTTAGTTAAAAAAATAATACTGGAAAAAGTTCTATATTTAGAAGATGTATTACTAGTAAGTTTTGAAGCTGAGAAAAATAAAAAATGGTGCTTTTCCCCCTAGAAATTAATGAACAACCAATATAAAAGTACTATCAAGCTTCCTCTATTTTCTAAAGCAGACATTTTTGGAGCTGAAACACAAGTCAATCAAGAAACTATAGGTTATCAAAAATGTGCAGAAACTAACCTTTCTGTTAGAAAATTCCACCCAAAAAAGAAAAAAAAAAGATATTTAGAGAAAAGGTAAGGGGGCCCCTTCGGTGTGTATAATAAGTGCCATTATTGCTGAGATACCTAAAAGGGTGATAATAAGAATCACAGGAGAAGTGCAATAGAGCAGCTATTTGAAACTTGTTTTTCACACATTTAGTACAAAAACAACAGCTCTTACAAGAAAGGTCAGTCCACCCACACGTTAATCTCCAATCAAGCAGCACTTTGAGAATCCAAACGTGATTGCAAATCGCTCACATGCCAAGATGAAGGGGCTTTTTGTTTTCATCTATCTATTACTACCAACATTTTCTATTCACAATGGTCAGGGGTTGAAGGACACACAAGGTACTTGCTGAATTCCAGCACTTCCCCCATTACACAGAGTGAATTAATATACAAATACACACACACACACACACACACACACACACGCACGCACGCACGCACACACACACACACACACGCACAATGCTATAGTAACATGAAATGTCCACCTCACCCTCGCCCAAGTAATGGGATTCAGATGGAAGGCTTCCTTTCCAACCTGATTTCAGCCCCTGAATCCCTCCCAGGAGCTTCTCAGCAGGCCACAGCTTGCTGCATGTGCCATAATAACAAGGCACAGCTGGATGAGGGAAGAGCAAGATGCAATTAGCAGAAGCTGTCCTTGCTTCTAAAACTTCGAGTCTGACCCTGAAACTTTCTTTACATCAACACCTGTAATTGCATCTTAATTTCCTTTCTTGAAATATTTTATTATTTATTATTACTATGATTATATGTATTAAAATATTTAAAACATTTTAAATTATCAGTTGTAATGCATAGAGAGAAAAATGCATCAAAATGTGTAATTTATTGAATTATTGACATGAGTAGCAATGTGACCTGCACTTACAGCAAGACATACTGCTACCCAATCCTAGACCTACACTTCTTGGGTAGAAATGCTTCCTTCCTGGGGCTGTAACCAGAATTCCTGAAGTGCATTGTATTTATTTGAATTTCACTGAGGTTTTATTATATAACTGTACACTTCTAAATTTGGTTGAATTATGTCTTTTTAAATTAATGGTCTTTCATTTGTATAGAATATATTCATAGTATCTGGTTTCTTCTGCTTTATATTATATTTTTAAGGTTTATCCCCATTCTTAGTATTTCTGTAGCTTAACCATTAATATTGTTATATACTGTTCCATTGCATGAGTATATTACAAACTGCATAAGTACCTCACATGATTTATTCATTTGCTTGTTGGTGGGTATTTGGGCTCATTGTTTTGTCTTGCTTTGAAGTTCTGCTGTGTTTCCTGGAATCTTAAACTACTGGGCTCAAATAATCTTGCCTCACCTTTGCAAGTAACTGGGGTTACAGGCATTCCATGATATCAATTTAGAGTCACTTTTAGTGTATACCCATACATACACTTTGATCTATACAATGCTTTTCAAAAAATGTTAGATGTATATTATTGTAATCCCAAATATCGTGTATAGTCATCTAAGTATTACAATTTTTTTAGTTTATTTTTTACAATCCAAAAAGTTATATTTGTAATCCCATTAAGGCATTATTGGAATCCCAGCAAATTTTTTTTTTTTTATTTTTTTTTTTTTTATCGGTACCGGGGAACAAACTCAGGACCATGCACTTGCAAGACCAGCAAGTTATTTTTAATCTACCATCTCTAATGCAACCCAGGGCGAGAGTAAAGACAACAAGACATATTTCAAGTTAAGGGCAGCCAAGGAGTCCTAAATCTAATCCCTGTGAGGATGTGCGGACAAAGGCCCTGATCCTAGGCCTCTCCCAGAATTTATTATCTTGTGAAGTATTGGGGTGGCTTAGGGATGAGTGACAGTGAGGATGGCAGGAATTAGGTGAGTAACTTGAACTGGCTGGCCAGGTGGGGAGACAGGCATCTTTGCAAAATGCAGAGATAAGGATACACGTACAAGGATTGATTCGTGTAATTTAATTAAGGTAGCAACTGAATTGTTTTAGGAGGCAGTTGCTTTGATTTCTGATATGTAAACTTTTGTCCTGGGGAGTCATAGCCTCTTTACCTTGAGGCTTATACCCATTGACATTCCTGGAGTTAATAGCTCTACCATCCTGCTGTGCTCATATGTTTTATAGAGAATACTATGAGAGGAAATAGGAGACTGTCTATCTGATGGCTTTAGAGATTGCATTTCAATATCTTGGCTAGCCTTATTTACAATGCTTAGAGCCAATTTTAAAAAATATACCATAGCCAGCTCTCTACATATCAATATAAAAAAATAAGTCTACATATAATCAAGGTTACAATTGTTCTACATTCAAGGGAGACACTAGAGTTGTCTCCCACGTATATTTCAGTGGGATTTTATGGATAACATATATAGGAGAGTGGAATTATGGGGCCATAGGAATGTGTGTGTGTGTGTGTGTGTGTGTGTGTGTGTTTCTTCACTTGACACTGGCAAAAGTTTACTGAAGTTTCCATTTTATGAGCAATTCATGAGAGTTCTTGTTTCTCCTTCCCAATATCACTTAGGTGATCTCTTTGCATTTTGTTTTGTTTTGTCTTAACTTGTCAAAATATTTGCTGGTCTGGCTGAGATCTTTTCCTCTTTTAAACAGAATAGTTCAAAAGAAGTCCTCATTGCATATTCTGAATTTCTTATAACTCAAAGTCACTGACCCACTTTAAAGGCCATCAAAATTCGCAAATCTTGTGCATATGCAATGGTAAAGCACTCCTAGATTTAGAATTTACTGAGGTCATAAGCTATTTTACTTACAAAGGAACAATTACAATTTATGAAGTCTACGGAAAAGTTTCAAACAAGAGATACTAAATTCTTCAATGGTCCAATAAACCTGTAACCAAGATGAAAGAAGAATATGAGTGTACTGCCACATTGTACAAAGTCAAATAACAAATATATTGTAAGGAAAAAATCAGAATTCATGAGTGTGTCTAAGAAAATTAATCACAAAGAAAACTAGGGAAAAAACACACAGAAACATGGAAATTAAAAAAGAAAAAGCCTACTCTTTCCAAATTTATTTCTCTTCCTACACACATATGCACATGCATACACACACACATAGCTGCTTACTTACCCCCAGGACAAATCAGTGAGCAGCTTCTGTCCTTTGAAATGCTGACATATTTCAGTTGAATATAGTAAAAAT